TCAGTGGACCATGAAATTGGGGGGTCAAAACTATAATTTGGCATTAAAATTAGAAAGATCATATCAAAGGGAACATGTGTACTAAGTTTCAAGTTGATTGGGCTTCAATTTCATCAAAAACTACCTTGACCAAAAACTTTAACCTGCCCACTTGCACTATCATTTTCTATGTTCAGTGGACCGTGAAATTGGGGATCAAAACTCTAATTTAAAATTAGAAAGATCATTTAATAGGGTACATGCGTACTTAGTTTAAAGTTGATTGGACTTCAACTTCATCAAAAACTACCTTGACCAAAAACTTTAACTAAACACTTTAACCTGAAGCGGGACAGACGGACGAACGAACGGACGAACGAACGGACGCACAGACAGAAAAACATAATGCCCATAGGTGGTGCATAAAAATGATTCTTACGATTTGTAGTTTTGACGTTAATTATGAAGATCTACTTATGAATAACAAAAGCTCTACAAAATTATTTTACAATGCGACTATCAAGTGCTTTTCGAGGTTAACGATTACAATTGTTTTGTTATTTTTTGGCGAAAGTAATTTTTCTATTTTTACGAAAAAATGATATATGCACAAATACATATCACGAAAAAACGACTGATACACATTTTGTCTATGTCGTATCCCTATAACAGTAGCTTTTAAGTTAACCAGATGACAGATAGACGGACAATCAAAGCGAAACTAGAACGCTCTTGTATTTTCGAAGAGGGGCACTCACTACATAGTTTATGACATGTTATACCAATCCTGGAATCCAGATATCTTGCATTTAATGATTTAAGAAAAACTTATTGCATTTAAGATTCTTTTCTTTATTCAATAAAGTTTTATTTTGTGCAAACAACGCAGTGAACATCTACTGCATTTGTATACGGTGGACACCTCAAACTGCCACATTTAGTTTTTACTCCATAAAATAAAGCTCCATTTTCATCTCCAGTTTTATTGTCAACAGCCTCTGCATCTTTATCAACACATACATATTCCTTGCTGCTGTAATCCTTATAATCTGACATGATATAACCGGTGTACTCAAATGTCCAGCCCTTGTAGCAGGTTTGTCTCCCTAAAATTATAAATTGTTTTTATTCCACCCTGTTCCTCCTTTAAACCCAAAATAGTAGTTGCATCCGTTTGCTCTGTACATTGTCTATATTTGCATTAATATATCTCTATTCAACAGAAAGTCAAATATCAGCTAAAGAACCGTTTATATTTATAGGATTTAACTGAATTTAATATATCTACCTGCTGTACAGTTCTTTTGTGTTTCTGTGCAGATATAAATTGATACCCCCTGATTGGTTGCAGTAAAATAAAAAAGATAACCCTTCAAATTTTCATAACTAGAGGCTCTCCAGAGACTGTGTCGTTCATCTGTATCTACTGTGTTTTTGAAAATCATGTAAAACAAGGTTAAAATCATAATAAATAGTATTAGATACCCTAATAATGATTGAGGCCAAGTTTGGTTTAATTTGGCCTAGTAGTTAAATTAAAAGCTGGTCATTCTATTTTTGTCTTACAATAGTTACTGAAGACCCCTTATCATTATCTAAATCAGTTTTCAAGTTGTGACCATTTGCATTTTTTTTTAACAATTTTCCCTTAGACTTCTATGATAAACCCCTATGTTCTATTTTTATCCATGGCGACCATGTTGGTTGGATGAAAGGGTCATCGGATACATTTTTCAATCATGATACCCTATTGAAAATTGTGACAAACTTTAATTCTTTTTGGCCCTGTAGATTAAGTGGAGAAGATTTTTGTAAAAGATAACAAAAATTTAAGAAAAATTGGCTATAAAGGGCAATTTTGGTCATATTGACTTATTTGTAAATCGTACTTTGCTGAACATTATTGCTGTTTATAGTTTATCTCTATCTATAATAATATTTAAGATAATAACCAAAAACTGCAAAATTTCCTTAAAATTACCAATTCAGGGGCAGCAAACCAACAACAGGTTGGCTGATTTGTCTGAAAACTTTATGGCAGATAGATCTAAACCTGATGAACATTTTTACTCACGTCAGATTTGCTCTAAATGCCTTTTTTCAGAGATATAAGCCAAAAACTCCATTTTACCCCTATGTTCTATTTTTAGCCATGGCGTCCATGTGGGTTGGCAGGCGGGGTCATCGGACAAATTTTTTAAACTAGATACCTTAGAGATGATTGTGCCCAAGTTTTGTTAAAGTTAGCCTAGTAGTTTCAGAGGAGAAGATTTTTGTTAAATTTAATGGACGACGGACGAAGGACGAAGGACGCAAAATGATTAGAAAAGCTCACTTGGCCAATTAGGCCAGGTTATCTAAAAACAGTTTAAAGGGTGCAAAATGGGGCATTTTTAAACAGTACATATATAATGAAGCTTCTATGACAATTTCGTGAAACTTTGGTTAGCGGTTTTATGGAGAAGAATATACAAAATATGTATGTAGAGTGCAATATGAAAAAGTCTATTACATGCCAAAGTAAACTCCACAAATTAATTCAAAAAAAGGGGGGGGGTCATCACAGCCGTAACGAAATATTTGAAGAAATGAAATACATACGAAACTGTCGGGAGTAGGCTTCACTTATGTTGTTATAACTTGTGTCGAATCCCTTTGCATACTTATGCAAATTCAATATGTTTAAACTAAACTTAAACTTTACTAAACTGTAAATTTAAAAAAAACAACATCAACTTCAACATAGACCGTTGGAAACTTGGAATTGTAGATAGAGAGGCAAAAGATACTCAATATTCAATATTCGATATTCAACTTATGTCTATTTCAAACTGATAACGCAATGGGAAGAAAAAGAAAACGAAATACAAATCACAAAAAAAATACAATTGGGAGCGACTCACTCCCTATGCAGGTCCTGCGGTTATGTTTTTAAAATAGAAATGAATGTTCATTAGGCGAAAACTGTAATCTTCTCCTAATGAAAATTTTGGGTTTCAACTTTTATTTACTTCTAGAAACAACTCAAGATATGACGAAGATTTGACCATCCATGATCATATTAACTAAATCGTTAACCATGTTAATTTTTCAGTTTTTACATCATTAAACAGTTAACATAAAAATATATAATTACCTGGTATCATGAGAACAGTCGACCTTTTTCTTTGGTAGCAAACAGCACATGTCACTTCTTTGTTGAATAAATTGCTTGTCATTTTAGATGGTTTATGATATGAACCTGTCTGATATTCGGCACCAAATAACTGATCATTATCGCGTGAGAGGGTCTGTCCGTTCTCCGGGTCATTTGGTAGGCATAAATAGTTGACACCCCCTCCTTTGTTTGAATAAGAGTTACCACCAACTTGTCCTGGAATAAAACGTATATTATGTACTTTTCCGTTTTGAAATTTAATAGAGCAATACAGGATGATTCCTAAGTTTGACAACGTATGGTTATCATTTTAGGTTATTTTCTAGTTTTTTTTCTAGAATACATAATAACTTCTTTCCTTATCAATAATCAATGACATTTGGATCTATGATGCACAGTGTATTAAAGAAGTCTACAGTGTTTTTGAAAAAAGTGTAATTTAAAAGAAATTTTAAAAGACTTTTGGATTTCCTATTGTTTAAAATAGAACACCTGTTTCTAAAAATAGCACAAGCAGACATAATTCGAAGCACTTTCAAAGTGATGCTTATTCATTAGACCTTCCAACAAACAACATAAAAAACAAAACCTCAATAGTTGCTTCTGGACAATTTTTGTGAAATTTGTTTTACACTAAACAGTTCTAACCAAGAGAAGATTCTCACAGTTCTACGCTGTAACAGTTATCAAAAGTGCTATCCTAGAACAGTATTGGACAGTTCTGTAGAAAAAAAAATGACATTCCACTCTTACAATAGTAGTGATAGTTCTACACTAAAACATGTCATATCGGTTCAAACATAAAACATATCCTGACAGTTCTGTCCAAGAACAGTGTACTACTTATAGGGTGTATTTTAAAGGAATAACGTAATAACTCATGACACAAAATTGCGTATAGTGTCAGTAGAGTGCGTATCTTATATTAACCACTGTTTGCTTATGCTATATATGATAAATATAAAACATGACATTTAACATCGATCTATAAATTCATGTTGTCTTATCTGAAGTTATTCTGAAAATACATGCAGTGTGAGAATAAGTCGTTTTCGTACATATTCCTTTTTCTTCTACTTGGCCAGTACCACTGATTGACTGTCAACTACCCGAAGGAAGTGATTTGATTGATTGATTGATTGTTGGTGTTTTAACGCCACTTTTAAGAGCCACATTTGGGCTATTTCGGGGCGGCCAGTTTTTATTGGTGGAGGAAGCCGGAGTGCCCGGAAAAAACCACCGACCTTCGATAGGAATACTGACAATCCTAGTCAATTAAGACTGGAGTCGAGTGCACCCGCACGAGCGGGGTTCGAACTCACAACCTCAGTGTTGACTGGCTAGTGATTACAGTAGAGGAACTACTTAGACCACTTGGCCACCGAGGCCCCCGGAAGTGATTTGATACTTATAAAATATAACTGAAACATTTTGAGTGGCAGTTTTAGGGGCCGGTATTGACTAAATTTGGTTTTGTGGTTGTTGTTTTTTCGCACTATAAACTTTGAGATCGTTTTAATCTGCATTTTATAATTTATATTATCATGAAAGACAATTTTAGATTTTTTGGAATTTCCATTTGTTAAAACAACAACAGATATACCATGTATAAGTCGAACATTTAACATTAGTACTACAGAGTTGGAAAAGATGATTTGACTGATCTGTATTCGTTTATCTTTAAATGATAAAAAGGATCATGAACTTTTTACAAACCAAAGTGTTTCTACTTTTCATTTAATATTGGTTTTGGAATTTTTACATCTATAGTGACATAGTTACTAAGATGACACATCGAAGAAATAAAATGACGAAACAATTACTACAACCTTTACTCAATATGTACACAGTTTCGTCCGATTACCTGTATATACCAATTCTACTCCTTTTGGGCATGCTTTCTTTCCCCAACGAACATATGTCACTCCTAAATGAATTAATAGAAGAGAACAGTAAGTTGTTTTGTTGGTTAACAAACTGAAAAATATATATTAAACATCTCAAGATATCAACCGAGAAGGAATGGAAAATGCAATTTAATCTTGTAGTGATTAACTCAGATGTTGGGAACACAATTCATAATAGGATGGAAAAAACTTGTAAGGATTAAAGTGTTTTGAAGTGTGCAAATCGATAAACGAGAGTGTAAGATGACAATGTCTTTATAGGCCAATTACAGCAAGCAAATATATGCTACATAGTACATATTTTAAGATTTAAAACTGTGCGTAGGGACTATTTTGTTTTAAATATGTAATACTTTCCGGTATGTTCTTTTTTGACCGGGCCCGAATGGGTGGTGTTACATCTTACAAAGTCTATCCAAATTATTTGTGCAAAGAATTCCGCTAAAGCCGGTGCTAGGGGCCGTCTTATACTTGCAGTGAGGTGAAAGTTTTTTTGCTCCGTGTTTAGGCCTCACTGTGACTTTGAGATGACGAACAGCAGTACAAGCGCTGTTCCTTTGCTTTGTGTGTGTTTTCTTGTTGTGCATGTACTAATTTTGTGTCATGGATGGATACCCCATATCCTTTTTTTTTTACTATTATAACTATATTACTTTTATGTTTTAATGGTGTTATATTCATGAAATACAATTTTGCGTCTTCGTCATCTTCCACGTTATGCTTAATCAAACCGTAGTCAATATGTCGTAGCTTTAATTACAACAGTAGTATACCGCTTTTCAAAAGTCATAAATCGATTGAGAGAAAAACAAATCCGGGTTACAAACTCTAACCGTGGGAAACACATCAACTATAAGAGGATAACAACGGAACAACAGAAACACTGAAGTGCAGCAAAAACAAACGCAAACAAACATAGAAACGAACTATGTGATATCAACTGCCATATTCCTGACTTGGTACAGGACATTTTAAGAAAAACATGGTGGGTTGAATCTGGTTTTATGGCTAGCCAAACCTCCCGCTTATATGGCAATGCTAAAAATATCGCTAAAATGACAACACTATGTTACAGGAATACAGCACACACAAACAAACAAAAATAAGGAGATGTAACATGATTGCCAATGAGACAACTATCCAACAAAGTTCAAATGAAGTGGATGTTAGCAATTATAGGCAACCGTACGGCCTTCAACAATGAGAAAAAACCCATACCGTAAGGTCGGCTGTAAAAGGCCCCGACATGAAAGATATGAATTAATTCAATTACGAAAACTAACGGACTAGTTAAAACAAAACAATTTACGAAAAACATATATAACAGGCATGAACCAACGACAAACCCATAAACTACAGGCTCCTGACTTTGGACAGGCACATAACGAATGTGGCGGGGTTAAACATGTATGTGGGAGCTCAACCCTCCCCCTAACTTGGGACAGAGATGTTACACCAGAACATAAAAACAAACTATAAAAATCTGTTGAAAAGGGCTCAACTCATCAGGCGGATTACCCAGTTGAAATTAAACAAAAGAAATGGGACTCTTTGTTATAGAAGGTAAAAACGCCAAATTGGTATATATAAATTGTTTACATCTGTTTCTGTGTCCTTTAAAAGTTTAATCAAGGTGCATAATTAAGGATTTTATGCATCATATATCTGTGTTTTTACTTAAATTATAATATAGAGCTTCGAGATATTTGTAAACTTTTAAATTAAAGACAAATTTCCATAAAAAAGTCGATTGTGGTAGGTGCAAATACAAGTGGATCTTTTTGTGCATAAGCATAAAATCAGCCGAAAAAAATCCACAGTAGGTTACAAAATTAATCTTTTCAAAAAAAAAATTTGCATCTCTGCCCCCCGGCGACAGTTTTTTGAGAAAAAATCCTAAATGTATGCGATAATTTCAACGAAAAGAGAAAGTCGAGTTCATCTTTGTATGTTAGGACGTGTCTGAGTTGACTATTTTGTCTTGTATCGTATAAGGCAAAATATTTTGCACATCATCTCGTTTAAGATTCTATTATCTTTATATATTTAGGCTACAGGTTGATTTAATAACATAAAAAATCACAGTACTAAAAATTGAAATATATGGGTCAAGTGAAATACGTTTTTAATGAGTCATACCACCAGAGTAGGTGTGTTCGAATAACATATGTTTACTAACAGTACTTGACGACAGACTTTGCAAGTGGATCTTAAAACTGCATAACTTCAAAAATACTTTATTTGTGTGTGTGTTATCTAGGGTTATATGTCTTCAACCTATAAAATTATTTAGTCTGCCCTTCAACGAAATATTTATTTGGAATTTTTTTCAAATATTTTTGAATCTTTGCAAATTCCACCTGACAACCTATCAGATAATAGCTTTAAGTTGACTAAATGCAGAAATGTACTTTAAATTATGCTCAATAGCTAGGAGATACATTTGTCTTTATAATACAACTGGCATATAAGGATCGTAATGGTGTTATGTGGATAAATTTATCGGTTTTCAAGAGCTAAATTTGCAGTGCGTCATCCCTACAATGGCTTCCATTTTTACGATTGTAAAAATTAGCTGGCGTAATAGGGAGATAATTTTGACGAAGTAGAACCCTGACTAAACACATCAGATCGATTATGTTTGCTTTTAAAAATGTTAACTGTCTTGCATTTGTAGAATGTAATTTTGTCATATCGTCTTTTGTTCTTTTGGCCATGATATTAACATTTTCTTTGATAAATGTATTAAGATTTAACTGCCACATTGATCTGCATGTTCCAGTAGCTTTTTGTGGAACATTTTCTTAATAACGTCTATATTTAACATATTTCATAGCTGTTTGCCAACTTTTTGTGGTAGAGTTTTTATGTTTTATTGTTCGGGAGGAAAACGGACAATCCTAGTCAACTAATATTCGAACACACCTACCAAGCATGTGCGGGGTTTGAAGTCACAACCTTAGTGTTGACTGGCTAGCGATATATGAGATGACTGACTACTTAAATCACTGGGGCACAGAGGACCCTCGCAATTAAGGAGGAATAGTTTGCAAACACGTCAACGTCTATCTATAACAATCAATTGGCAGCGGACTGGTGGTTCATAGAATCAAAATTAATATATTTTGACCTCTTTCTTCTCATATCGAATTGATGTTGTTTTATGTATTTTTTTCTGTTTATTTTATTTTGCAATTAATTTGATTATTCAACAAAAATCATTGATATAAGCAAAGCTAAGTCAAAATTTATATCACTTAATGAACATTAACATATTTAAGAGCTGACGTGTACGATATTAGACTCCGTCCATTTGTATTTAAAATATCCTGTAGGGTAATACCGTACACCCACTTCCAGTCCGTTTTATTGGAAATTGTTGCACTTATACTACACGGAAAAGTATCTGTCAATTCAAAACTATTTCTGGCATTCAGTTTCCATCAGTTTTCTAAATTTCGATTAAAATAGAAAGTTTTTACATTAAATGAACCAAACTTAAAATTTACACAAATCTGGTGACTTTTTGGACGAGATCATCTTCTCAAAACGCCCGCGAACAAAACTTTCCGACAAACGGCAAATGTGTACATATTCTATGATAGAAAATCGTAAAAACGTGAACATACACGGTTATACTTTTCTTATCATCAGTAAATAATATTAAAACACACTTCATTTCTCAATTTTATCAGAAAAACAAGCGAAATGTAATATGTACGGTAATTACCCGCCTGTACGAAATTACCCGGATCGACTCTATTTGATAGGATTTTTTGACTGAATAATTATCGATGAAATTCGAGTAGTTTAACGTTCATACCTGATGCTGAAGCGGCTGGTTTTATACATGTATGGAGGCAATGTGTCATCATATCTATCAAAGACTGGTCAGATGCCAATCGGTCATAATCATTACAATCATGAGATTGGATAAGCATCATGTTTGCTGATATGACAACTACCAAATATGACAAAAACATGTTTTCTACAACACAAATAGAAATGATATACATTAGACATTCCATAAGTTATTTCAATTCATTATTATAGAAAAGAGCTTTACCAGTCACCGGTAGATAAGGGAACATTTTAACTTGATGGAGTTTCAGATGAATTACAAGAATATAATCGGGCCTTGATACTTGGACATAAAGTCAGTACAACTTGATCTTACCGATACTAGATAATAAATTAACGGTATATTTTGAAACACAAAAAGATTTTTGGGATCTAATATTTGCCTATAAAGTCAGTACCATTTGATTTTACAAATAAATGATAATTGATTGGTTTACATTAACCGTATATAATAAAATACAAAAATATTTTTGGGACTTATTATTTCGGATGTAAAGTCACTACCACCTGAGTGTACAAATTTTGGTTAGTTGATCTATATTTACCAAATATAATGAATAACATGATATTTTTGGGGACCTAATATTTGTATATGAAGTCATTGCAACTTGATTTTACCGATAATACATAGTTAATCTACATATAATGTATACTGAAATACACGAGTAATTTTTGGACTTAATATTAGCATATAAAGTCACTACAACTTGATTTTAGTAGATAACTGATCTGCATTTATGGCATATGCAAGTTTTTCGTAATTTTATGTTCATTATGAAATCCGTTTTATATATTAAAATAATATATAATTTCTTCGACATTTTTCGATACTCCTCGTTGGTAAAGATGAACATAAGTGATTGGTAATACCAAATTAAATTATAAAGAGGATCGATATTATTTGTAGTTCATGAGATTTCTTCGTCGAATTTTCCGCCCTCCTTCTCCATCATCACCTTCTACTTAGTTTGCATAACTAGTTTTTGTTCTTATTCTTATATTTATACTTTTGATTGTATATTGTAATTTTTATATTGGTATTGTAGCATATGTGACTATATTAGCTTTAATAAGACTTTATTTCATTCTCCTTTTTTAAACAGATTACCTTTCGGTAGATTACTACATGTTTTTGTATAATCTATTACTCTATCTTGGTATGCATATTAGACCTAATTCTAGGTTTATAGTTTATTTTTTATTATGGTGTTTGTGAATCTGATTAATACGTGATTTACTTTAGTTAACTATATATATCTTTTACTACTCATATGGATGTTGTACATGGTGCAAATTTGTAATACTTTCTAATATCACAATATACTTAAACATGTTAAATATGTAATCATTTATAATATCATCATGTGTGTTTATTATGTATTTACATTTGTAACTTGATCAAAAGCTTATTTATCAAAGAGGTTGGTGTGTCAATGGGATGGAGGGCATACATAATCAATTACAATTCGAATTTTTGGACCTTATATTAAGATGATCAAAACCTCTTTATCTTTATCAAAAATTCAAAGTTTACAAAATAGTACTGCCATTAACATATTTAAAGTATACTAAGTTACTAAATCACATAGAAATTAACATATATAATTTTGTGTACCATTTTATTTCACCAGAACTGTGCTACAAAAATGTTTTACTAATATCTATCAACGAAATAGTACTGCAAAACAGGTCGCCCAAAATCAAGGACGGGTTTTCCATTCGTTTGATGTGTTGGAGCTTTTGATTTTGCCATTTGATTACGGACTTTTCGTTTTGAATTTTCCTCGGAGTTCGGTATTTTTGTTATTTTACTTTTTTCTCTGTTGGTGGAACAAACATTCCGTTTTATATATTAAAATATTTTTTTACTAGGTAAAGATAAACTAAAGTGTTTTGATTTGTCAGTAACATTTGGTCATACCTAATCATTTTTTTTCTTTTGGTTCTTTGACGTGAATGTACCGTGGCATTCTCTGAAAATGGCTACCATAGTTCATAGTTAAAGCACCACTTCCAATCTGGCGTGGAAGCGCATTTAATATACATCTCGCAGTACTGTCAGAAAAAAATCGGATTACCTTATTCTGGTACCCAAGATATCGTGTTATAACTATCGTGTTTCGGAATAGAAATGTATAAGATATGTGTTGCAAAATGCATTTAGCTAGATAGATAAAGAGTATAATTTTAATTATAATGCTGCTGATTTAAACAAAACTGAATTTCAATCATTATAAAAATAAATGTATTCAATTTTGGAAATTAAAATAGTAAGAGATCATATAAAATAAAAAGGCTGATACGTTACACATTATAAAGAACTATAAATGTAAATATTAATGTCGGTCGATGAAACCGAAAAACATCTATCAATATTACAATAGATCTTACAAACAAGTATGCGTTAGTCACGAACGTTCCAATATAACTTACGACCAATTTTAGGCGTACGATTGTTTGTGATAAAAGCACCTGATCTCATGAGTCTGGGGAAATTTTACGTAATGCTAGAGGAATTTTCACAGAGTAAATGATTAAAAGAAACAAATAGAACAAGCGATGAACTTTTTTTAATCGCAAGAAAATTTCCAAGAAAATAAAATCAGTAAAAAATCCTGTTAAACACAAAATTTTTACTTTTTTTTTCAATAGAAAATGCGTACAAATCGATAAAAACAGATCTAGACATACCTTATTTTTTCTTCTTTTCGTTACACATTTACAAACACTATAAAGTCTGTCTATGGAGTTTTTCGTGAATTTGTCATGTATAGCCATGCAATACATGCACATCTGTTGCTAAAAGTAAAATAAGGAGATTGCATGTACGGTGTATATTGATTCAGTATATGTTTTCATGTACATGTCTCCTAAAGGTTACAAAATAAATGCGCATTACTTTTTCTTATTTCTTTCCATGTTCATATAGAACAATACCAATACTTAAAAATTCACAATTACCAGTAATAATGACAAGGCTTTCCCTTACAAATGCTGCTTTATGGATGATATTACTATAAATACAAATTCTACCACGCATTTCCTTTCTCTTTTTAATAGGTTCGATAGAGACAAAAGTGTAGGAAGGCAGAATACTGACATTTTGAGAGCATCACATGCAACTGAAAAGAGTCAAAGCAGAACAACTTGACCGTCTATGATAATTTGTCCAAGTGGTAGTTTGATTATTACATGTCTGCGTTATCTATCCCAAGAGGTAAACTATTGTCAAGTTTGATGTGTCGATAAAAGGAAAGAATGTGGAATGAATTGTCACTCATTACACGTACTGTTACAAATTGATCTGAGAAACTGTTATATTTTTTATCGTTTGAATTCCTTGCTTCATACCAGCTGGATAAGTTTTATTTTGAATAAACATGTACAATGATGTATGCAATAACAATGTGTGTAAGGGTTCGCAAAAACTTGGGTAAAAGCAACCGCGTGGAGACCGTTTATATTCCATATTTAGTAAGTAGGGTTTCATATTAGGTTAGTATGCGGGGCTTATTTCAATACACGGTTAGTAGTGGTGTTACGTCCCTTTATAAAAACAACACGGTGTTAAGGAAAAATCTTAACTGTTTCAACAGACGAAAAAATTGATGATGAACGATTGAAATAAATTCATAAAACACATTCAAAGCTAACAAGTTGTTATTGTTGGCATTTGTTTTTGTATAGACCAATGGAAGTAGGTTCTTAATACTAACGGTATTGAAGACTTGATCACTTTGATAGGCCACTAGTCTAAAACCCAAGATGTTCGGTAAGATAAACTCGATACATAGTGTGCTAGTGACCTAATACGATATATATGGGGTCGGTAATATCCATATGGGGATTCGAGCTTCGCTCTCACCCCATATGAAATTTACTCACCCCATATATCGTATTAGGTCACTAGCACACTATGTAACTAATCATATGCTTGGTATTATAATTTAATAATAAACCACTGCATAAACATGAGTTTCTTATCCTTGATTTGATATTGGTTCATATTTAGTGCACCAAATTCCTGAAATATCCGGATATTATCGTCAAAATAGATCAATAAAAGACCCAATAGGTTGTCTGATATGTGTGTGTAAAACAAATTGAAAAAACAGATCTGATAAAACTGAGAATGGAAATGGGCAATGTGTCAAAGAGACAACGACCCGACCAAAGAGCAGAAAACAACCCAAGGCCACCAATGGGTCTTTGATATGTTTTTGATTTCCCGATTTTAAGCTGCATGATTTGAAATATTAACTAAAATTGACTCGGAACGATTAGTTTAAGCTTGACATTTGTGTATGGACACCTGCCTATTATTGAATACCTTACTGTTGACCGATACATGTCTTCGTTAATTTTTTGTTGGTTTGCTGCTGCAGTCATGTTTACCAAACATTTTTTATTCATGATGAAAATTTGATTTCGGTTATTTCTTTTGATTTCTTTTATATTCATATGTTTAATTGCTGTTAGTCGTATTGCAGTATTTGCAAAATAAGATTTAACAATATATTTTATTGCAAGTTAAAAAATCAAAGCACTGTAAGCGCTATAGGCAGTTAACCAAAAACCAAGGCAAACGTAATGATGAAAATTGTGGCAGTGTTGCTTGAATTGTTTATCACAGCTTGTTATATCTCAAGTATCAGATTTGTTTGGTATATTTGCTGCACTGTCCTACACACTTTTCTATAACAATATGCCTTTGTTTTCAAACGTTTATCATTTATCTTTAAATTACTTTGAAATATGTATCCTTTTGAAGATTCAATTCTGAGAAGATGTATGTACACTGTCCCAGGTTAAGGGATGGTTTTTGCATCAGTTGACATGTTTAACCCTTCCGTATTATGTGTGTATCTGTCCCTAGTCGTTCAGTGGTTTGTCAATTGTTGCTGTATATCATATTTGTTTTTCATTATTGATTCGACCTAAATCAGGCTGCTGGTTTTCTTGTTGGAATTATTTACATTTATCATCTTGGGGCCTTTTATAGTTTACTATGTGGTATGGGTTTTGCTCATTGTTGCAGGCCGTACGGTGACATATAGACGCTAACTTCTGTCAACTTCTCAATATACAATTGAATGAATTTAACTTATGCAGGAACAATGTCATTAATATTACAGTGTTCCACAGTGGTGTAGTTTTATTCCAATATCATGTACTAATCAGGCTTTTCATATGCCACATTAGCATTTTAGTTGGATCAGCAGGTGTCACTGATGTATAAAAATAAAATTGAGAATGGATATGAGGAATGTATATAAGAGACAACAACCCGACCATAGAGCAGACAACAGCCGAAGGCCACCAATGGGTCTTCAATGCAGCGAGAAACTCCCGCACCCGGAGGCGTCCTTCAGCTGGCCCCTAAACAAATATGTATACTAGTTCAGTGATAATGGACGTCATACTAAACTCCAAATTATACACAAGAAACTAAAATTAAAAATGATACAAGACTAACAAAGGCCAGAGGCTCCTGACTTGGGACAGGCGCAAAAATGCGGCGGGGTTAAACATGTTTTTTGAGATCTCAATATGTTTATTTAATGAATTGATTATTAAGGCAAATTAATTAATATTTTATCAAGGTTTTCAAAAGCAATGAATATATCAATGTATATTTTTCATGGTGAGTCTGCAGTGGTACAAGTTCGCAATAATACGATTTTACAGTTGATCTAGTTGGTAGTTAACTTAGGTACAAGTTGACTTTGGGTACGAGCTGACGTAGTACGAGTTTGTTATAGTATGAGTGGAATTGCTTCCCTGGAAGGAACACTTAGCTTGGGTTCTACAGTTCAAAAGTTATGAAACACAAATCAGACAAAGGTTTACTACTACAGGGATCGATCAAAGGTGAGGTCTAATTGACCTGCCTATAGTAAATGACCCCCAACCCAAGTCCATGATGTCACTTCATACCAGGTTTGCAATGACAGGTGATTATAAAACAGTTGGTTAAACATTCTTGGGCTTTACACTGCTTGAAAGATTTATATGTTTTCTTTAAAATGAGTTATAAATGAAAATTTTTATAGGCCCAGAAATAATTCAAAAAATAATTAGGATCAATTCAACCTAGATTTATTTTTTGCATCAGTTAAATTTTATGATAAACAAGAAATAATTGTAAAAGAATACTGTTACGAAGTCTCCCAAACAAGCTCCCATAATTTGTCATTCCCATGGTCGCCTGACATTGGGCAACGTCCAGTAAAAATTGGTTTGGCCTAGTAAAGTGATATGCATAAGTGACGCCTAGGAGATTGACCCTGTATGTCATTCAAATCTTCTTGAAATCATGAACAGGAATATATATGGTTAAGGGGTGGGAATCTCAACCGTTTACAAGTTCTCAAAAAGGAGGATCCCCAGGGGACTCGCCCTTTATTTCATTTGATTTGTTTTATAGTCCCATACAAGAATATAGATCGTTTCGGGGTGGGGATCTTGACCGTTTACAAGTTTTCAAAAAGAAGGGGGGTGGGGTGACCCCCGTGGACTCCCCTTATATTTCATTTGATTTGTTTTATTGTCCCATACAAGAATATATATGGTGAAGGGGTGGGGATCTTGACCGTTTACAAGTTCTTCAACATGAGGGGGTGGGGGTGACCCCCAGGGACTCCCCCTATATTTCATTTGATTTGTTATATTGTCCCATACATGAATATATATGGTTTCGGGGTGGGGATCTCGATTGTTTACAAGTTCTTAAACAGAAGGGGGTGGGGGTGACCCCCGTGGACTCCCCTCTTTTTCATTTGATTTGTTTTATTGTCCCATACAAGAATATATATGGTGAAGGGGTGGGGATCTTGACCGTTTACAAGTTCTTAAACATGAGGGGGTGGGGGTGACCCCCAGGGACTCCCCCTATATTTCATTTGATTTGTTATATTGTCCCATACATCAATATATATGGTTTCGGGGTGGTGATCTCGATTGTTTACAAGTTCTCAAACAGAAGGGGGTGGGGGTGACCCCCGTGGACTCCCCTCTTTTTCATTTGATTTGTTTTATTGTCCCATACAAGAATATATATGGTGAAGGGGTGGGGGTCTTGACCGTTTACAAGTTCTTAAACAGGAAAAGTGGGGTGACCCCCAGGGACTCCCCCTTTATTTCATTTGATTTGTTTTATTGTCCTGTTATCATTACTGAAGACCGCGGATGTCTATCACTTACTGTTTTCAAGTTATAATCATTTGAAAATTTAAAAAAAAATAAAATCCCAAAGGGTTCTATAGTATTCCCCTTCCTTCTTTAGGCCCCTCAAAATATCTCTAAATAGACCTCAATGCACAAACGAAAGATTGATGGCTCCAAAAGACATGTTAGTCTAACATTTTATGAAACCTTTATACTCTGTCTGAGTTGTCTCATTGACGGTCCGAGTGTCCTGCATTCAATAAAATATTAAAATATATCGACCAATCAACGTCGATTTCCGGTTCTATTTCATTTCATAAAATAACAACAAATTTATTTGGCAATGTTAGTGAGACACGGAATAAAATAATTAAAGAAAGGAATTTACATGTGCATACATTAAATTGAAATCAATTAAATAATCACAATCTTCTTAAACAAAAAGAATATCATGATTAACAATACTTACTTATAATCGGGTTTATATCATCAGAATCAATGTCTAACTTACGTTTCGAGTACTTTTAAGTTAAAATTACCGCCAACGTAGACTACTATGTACACGTGATATAATTCTCAGCCGCCAAACAATATTGCTGCGCCTTTTGCCATTTGGGAAATGTAAACAACTTGTAAT